ACACCTGACTACCGGGCAGGGTCACAGTGAAGAATTGCCTGCCCTCTCTATAGCATTCTTCTGCCCCAACCTTCAGTGTCCTAAAAGCTAATCTATTTTATTTGTATGAGTGTTTGACTGCATACATATCTGTGCACCACATGTGTGCCTGGTACCCTCAGAAGCCAGAAGATTGCCCAGGAACTGGAGTTATAGATGTTTGTAAGCCACCATGTGTGTGCTGGGAATTGGACCCTAGACCTCTGTACTCCAGCCCCCATGAGAGTCGTTTTGTTTGTTTGCTTTGAGACAGGGTTTCACTGTTTAGCTTTGGAGACTGTCCTGGAATTCACTCTGTAGAACAGGCTGGCCTCAAACTCAGAGAGATCCGCCTGCCTCTGCTTCCCAAGTGCTGGGATTAAAGGCATATGCCACTATGGGTGTCTTTTTTTTTTAAACATTATTTATTTATTTATGTATTAATTTATTTATTTATTATGTATACAGTGTTCTGTCTGCATGTGTCCCTGCAAGCCAGAAGAGGGAACCAGATCTCATTATAGATGGTTGTGAGCCATCATGTGGTTGCTGGGAATTGAACTCAGGACCTCTGGAAGAGCAGTCAGTGCTCTTAACCTCTGAGCCATCTCTCCAGCCCCAACAGTATCTTTTAAGTGTGCACTTTTCACACCTTTTGCAGGACCACAATAAAGACAGAAATCTTGGTCTTCCAACATCTGGATGCAACTGATATTGGATATGCAACTTGAGAACACTTGTAGAGGTCAGACTATAATCTGGCTGATCAAGAAAGGCAATAAATCATTCAAAAGAGACAGGAAGTTACCTTAATAGAGACTTTGGTATCTTTGTGAGCTAGCTTGAGAGCATTGTGGAACACCTTTAGGTCCTCCTCTAGAGCCAAAGTGGCAGCAGGGAGTTTCTGTTGTTCATGCTCTATGTGCTCAGCCAGCTTCCCAGGACAGTCTATGAAAATAAGCCCTTTGCTGCCCTTGAGGCCAGTCAGCAGCCGTTCATGGTACTTGGTGTACTCCCTGACCCAGGAGTTACAGTTATAGATATAAACTGCAGAGACATTGTCGTAGGCAAAGCCAGGAAAAACAACAAACCACTTAGAGAGGAAGTCTGTTTTAAAGCGATTGCTAGGTCCAGTATGGGTAAGGTCCACTACAATTTCATATGGCTTTGCATAATATGGCTTTAAAGTCAGCAAGACGTGGTATATCAGCAAATCACCATTGATTTGGCCAGTTTTGAACCTAGGAAAGGCAACAAAAAAGGATAAACACTGTTAAGATTTCTGAATGTACAGACAATATAAATCTATTTTCTTTTGTTTTACCTTTATTAGTTATGCATGCATGTGTGAGCATGTGGAGGCCAGAAGACAACACAGCACACCTGTGGAGATCAGAGTCTATTCCCCTCTCTCTTTATCATGTATGTTCTGGAGAGCACTCTCTCAGGGTGTGAGGCTTGCAATGAAAGCACCTTCCCTGCTGAGGAATCTCTAGGGCTCTATCTATCTATCTATCTATCTATCTATCTATCTATCTATCTATCTATCTATCCATCTATCTGATTTACTTTTCATTTTACACACCAACCCCAGGTCCCCCTCCCTCCCCTACTCGCTTGCACCCTTCATCCACTCCTCAGAGAGGTTAAGGTCTTCCTTGGGGAGTCAACAAAGTCTGGCATACCAAATTGAGGCAGGACTAAGCCCCTCCCCACATTAATGGAGGGCCCTTAAAAAAAATTTGTGATTAATTTTCTAATGTTTTTGGTTGTGAACCTTGAAAGGCGGAGCCATCTCTCTGGCCTGATTAATTTTCTAAAGAGGACAAAGATATAAAACAATTATTCAAAGTGTAGATTTATGTTTATATTTTCCAGACATTGTGCTTAATAAGGATAAAGAGAGAAGGGACGAACCCCCTTAAGAATTTTGAAAATAACAAATCTGCCCACCAAGAAAGAAGGAAGACAGAGAAAGGCCCCTGGGTACACCATATTTCTCAGAGAAGCCAGTGGCTGAAAAAGATGGCCAAAAGCTTAGGCAACCCATTTACCTGACCTTGACCAGAAGGTGACTCAGCAATGAACACAAAGACTTAAGTCAGGACAGTGAAGTCAGGGGCCCAATTCACAGGTCAGTTTAAATTGTTGGGGTTTGCGAGCCTTCCCCCATGTTTGTAATTAAGAAAAGACATAGCAACCCTGGGAATTGTTAACTTATATCTTCGGGTATGATGGAAGAACATGCCTCAAAACCTGAAGTGAAGGAGCCGAGAATGAAAAAATAGTTTGGGGTCTTGGCCATAATCTGAGTCATAGATAATAATCTCTCCCATGGTTAAATTTATCCCCAGACTATTCAGCTGTGTAAGCTAGTAAGTTCCATGCTTTGGCTAAACCACATTAGGTCATATACCACATCCACTTGGCTGGGTCCTGGAAACCTGACTGGGGCAGTGAGGGAATGAAGAAAGGACTGACACAGATGCACATACAGAAAAGCTGGGGTCAGGTGGGCTATGCATGCTCTGATGGAGCTGCATCAACTCCTGCAACAACCTGGGATCCTCAGGACGTTTATTAGGGACAGCCAGATTAGCTTGTCTTAGGAGGAGGCTTCTGTAGGTGAGCAGTCTTGGGTTTTACATATCAGGGAGAAGAAAGCTGCAGTTGCTAGCTTGGCACACACTGGTCAATTATTGGTAAACACACATCTTTGCACACACTGCCGACACCCTTAGGAACTGAGGAAGGCTCTGCATCCTTCTGAGCCTCACCATGGGTCTATGTGTGGTGGTGGCGTCGGGAGGCTTTGCCATTCCCATGGATTCAAACAACTCACTCATTCACTTAGGACTTCATTTGGCTGTTACACATCACTCAGGGCTTCTTCAGCTCCCCACAGTCATACATTGCTTAGAACTGAGAGAGCATCAATCAACACAAGCAGGCACAGTAAGGAAGCTCTGAAGAATATGGTTCCAGACTCTGATCCAAACACCTTATTAACTCAGGCCCACTGTTCCCATCTCTTGATTATCTCTGAGACATGATAAATACCCTCCTGTAAAAATTTTCAAAATTGTTGCAAAGGAATAAAATGACAACTTGAATTATTTTTAAGATGACAGGAATATGTTAAGATGATAAAAGATAAAAGAAATTCCTACTCTGAAAAAACTTCCTGAGTACCTCAGGATTCCAGTGTAGAACTCAAACCTGATACTAAAATGGAAAACTAGGTGACTAGACAGTTTATACAACAGCTAAAGTATTAAGTACATAGAGGTAAGTTCTGAGAGACGCAGACAGGAAATAAGTGATGGCAAACTATGACAGGACCATCAAAGGCCTCAATCTTTGCCTGGGTGTTGCCTATTTCTCAGCTATGTATAAGACGCTGGTACCAGCACAGGCCTACTGAATATGAATATATGTAGGGAGGGTAGCATTTTTGTTTTTTTAAAACAAACATCTCATCTTATACAATCATTTTGGAACCACTTTTGTAAATATGGACAAGTTTTTCAACTTTTAGCTGCTCAG